TATATATACGAACGCTTGCTATATTTATCCATTTGATTATATATATATATATATATGTATGTGTGTGTGTGTGTGTGTGTGTGTGTCTGTATTATTCCTATTACAGCTTGTTCATATTTATTATATTTTGTTCACGCACGCACGTGAGTACCCCTGCCGACGATATAATTCTGTTCCTATATAGGTCAGTTCCTATCTCTCTATGAGTTGGGATCAAATATGGATCGGAATCCCACAGAATTATATGATAAAGAACAAATTGGAAACCTTTATAAATTTAACATTTTTATCTTCTATTAAAGTTTCATCAGATGAAGCTTTAATCTAAAGTGAAACATGTTAAGTTACTAAACGTTTCCGATTTGTTGTTTCTTATCTATCTATCTATCTATCTTAGTACAACCACGATCCGATCTCTCTCTCTCTCTCTCTCTCTCTATATATATATATATATATATATATATATATATATATATATATATAAATCTTAATGAAGAAGGATAACCAAAGTAAAACACAAAATCTCTTCATTATCTATCTATCCCAGTCTCTTCATTTATTATCTATCTATCTATCTATCTATCTATCTATCTATCTATCTATCTATCTATCTCAGTCTTTTCATCTATCCATCTGCGCATGCGCCCCTGTTAATGTTGTATTTAAAAAAAAAAATACAAATATCCGAATTGTTGAACATTTATGTTTTCGTTCTGTTTTTCAGGTAAGTTTCAAGTGAGGCACCAAACAGATAACAATTCCAAACCAGAAACCTTTGGTAGGCCAAATCCTTTTCTTAAACCTCATTATACTTTTTTTTTCTTTTTTTAATCATTGCTTGCTTTACCATGCTGACATATCAACAAAAAACGATTTTTCATCTCCATGGCAGCTATTTGTGCAAAAAGTCGGATTGCATTACACATTTCCCAAACAATGAATTATTTTATCGTCTCCCTAAGTCATGATACCCTTTCCTAAAAAAACAAAAAAACATACCTCGGATTGTTAATTAATTATTATATATATTTACATACAACGGCATCAAAAGCGTACGAGAGACGTGTTTCTTTTGCGTTTTCATTTCCGTGTCCAAAAGAGAAAAATGGGGACAGATTTAAATTACTCTCCATTTAATTACGGATTTTCTATGTAACGTATCCCTTCCGGGCGTTGGGGATTGTGGCACGCCACAACTTCCCACCCTTTGCGGCTTTTAGTAACGTTTGTCTTTTGCCATCCCCTCCTCCAACCGTCGTTCCACCATACATTCACAAGAATACGTCAGGTAGCTAACACGCTGCCTTCTCCTGCCTTCAGTATATCTTGTGTGTGTCAATTTCTCCAAACCTTTCTTCCTCCTTTCAGCTGTCTCTCTCGGATTCTAAGTGTTCTTGTTTCCAGTTTCTTACGCGCTTCATCCATTGTATTGTCAGTGTTGGGGGTAGTAGACTTTCCCAGGAGCCGGTTACGGAACTAGATGACATGTGGGTCGCAGAATGCGGTTTGTTTTTGTGCCTAATTCGTATAAGATAGTGGCAGCGATTATTATTTATTTCGTATGTTGACCCAGCATGGAACACAGTGATTAAACAAGGCATTTAAACAATAAAACAAACATGAAGATAAGTATTAGTTCATTAACAAATAATAATTTATTTGGATGTTTTGTACATCGTGCGGTGAATATAATAAGACCCTTGAAAAGAAGGCTAAGTTCACGTATACACATTTAAAAGGGAAAAGATAGCATACAAGCATTTAGATGTGTTTAATGAAAACCATTTGAAAAGGGACATTTCTCTACACAATTAGGTGTGTTTAAATAAACCATTGAAAGTGGAAACGTACAAAGACTCACATTGAGGTGCATTAATTAAATCCGTGAAAATGGAAATGTTCCAAGACAAGACACACATTGAAGTCTGTTTAAAGGAGGAAAGTTCATTGACAAGACACACATTGAGGTCTGTTTAAATAAAATCCCTTGAAAGTGGGAATGTCTGTACCTTGGATTCATTGTTGAATCTGCATCAGAGAATCGTGAAATGTTTCAGTGGATTAGTAAATCGTTTGAGTTGACAACACGTAATCTATTCGCCAACTGCTCTTGTTGGCTTTGTAGTCTGCATTAATAGCTTCCTTTAAGCAAGTGCTGGCTCACAAAAAAGATCCTCGAAAATGCGAGGGCAATGCAGTCAGTGGTCAATTAATAATTTTGGATGTTTTTAAGTGCCACTCGGAGCTTATGCGCAAATAACTGATTTTGGGCATTCGACTACTGACTCTTGAGATGAAAATTTCCGGTCTACCTGACAATAGTATCCCCCAGTCTTCTCTTTAGATTGTTCAACATTCACTGCCATATAAAATGACTGATAGATTTTTTTTACTTGTTAATATTTTCGTATAATACAGCATATTTCACAATTCTTCTCATTTTTTTTTTTTTTAATTTATAGAAAATTTTCTCAGTAACAAAGAACGCATCAGTAAAATTGTTATCGTCAAATTTCCTGAAATTTTTAGCGTAAAGTTAATTTTAGCGTCCCTTTTAGATGTGAAATCATTCTTATTTTATGTGCCCTCTACCTCAAGAACAGGAGCAATCATGACTCTCCACAATTCCCGTCCTTTATTAATCTGAGTAACTTTTGAAACTTTATCATCTCTCTTTCTCCCTGAACTACCATCCAGTCACATAAACTATTTAAGTAAGTTATTTTCTTTCTGGATGTTAAATTCTCCAAACCGTCTTTTTTTTTATTATCTATCTCAGAAATTTCTATTTTCTATTTCTTATTCCAAGTACAAGTTTCATTTCGTTCCTGTTTTCCTTAAAATATTCCCTGTACTCACATGTTAAGTCCAATTTTGATCTTCAAAAATTTAAATGCAATATCAATCGTTATCTACTGTCTTCCATGTTACTCTTCTCTTGTTCTCAATCCTTCATAATCTTTCTATTTTCCAATTCTTTCACACCCAGTAAACTCTTGTGTATTAATGGCTTTACTGCCTTACATGGAGTAAATTCGATCAAAAAAATGTAATATTATGAACAAGTATTTGTCTAATATTAGTAGTCATTTTGTAGGATGCTAATATAATTTAGTTTGTTATTAGTGCGGATTGTACTAAGATTTGATAAGTTGCAAGTTAACCTACGGGAGAGTGTTGTGTTTGCGTAACAATTATTAAAATAGATTTTCTCGAGTGTGGAGGCCGTTAGACAAAATAAAATACTGCTTAAAATAAACGGAGTATCTACTCAAATATGGGTATCCACTAAAAATAACGTTTAACGTGATAATAATGTTGGATTAAGAATAAAATCAATTCATTCTTTAGAAATTACTTTGTTTACTTTTCGAATACGAAACTGAGCAATTATGAATTTCGGAGAATCTGAACGAGTAAAATGTGTTTTAAAGGGGAATAGAACGGTGATTGGTTGTGAAGCTTTTCGTAGCCGAGTGGTCAAATCATGTTGGAGTAAACAGCAGTTTTTCCTGCATAATGGGACGCAGGTTCGAATCCTGTCGGTAGATACATTTTTTTTAATAAAAATTATACTTTTATTTTTTTTATATTAGAAATTTTTTCGTGTGGGCAGGTCGATAGACGAAATAAAATACTGCTTAAAATAAACAAAGCGTATAATTTTTAATGAGATTTATATTAGGATGCATATGGTTACAACAGAATAAATTAATGAGTCTATTTTTTTTTTATATATATAAAAGCATTGTTGCTTGTATTTATTGTTGGTAAAATTCTTTCAAGCTAATATTTACTCATCAATGAGATGGCATGGGAAATTATTGTTGGTATTTTTTTTCTTTTCTGTGACCCAATTTTTTGTGTGCGAAGAATAAATTAGTTTATCTCGGTTGATCATATTCTTCATAACAGCTATTTTGTATCTGTGAGGTTAGTCACTTCGACAGCTAAAAAAACAAGACTTTATGCCATTGGGTTTTTATGTCTCCCCCCCACACACACACACACACACACACACACACACACACACACACATACACATATATGTATATATATATATGCGAGAGAGAGAGTTCAGACCGATACTAGAGTTTCACACTAGCGCGATCTTCAGGCGCCCACAACGTTCTGGTCGTCTAATGATCGCGTTAGCGTGAAACTCAATGTGAACTTTCTCTTTTTTAGAATTGTAATTACTTTGTCATTTAAACATAGAGCACTTTCGTTTACTGTTTAGGTTTTGATGAACTTTGCTCTATAGTACCTATGATGGTACCTAGACAATGCATTTAAGCGCAGTACTAGATTGGTAATAAGGTCTCATCACTTTACGGTTTAAATAGCTAGATATAACGGTAAGTTTTATGCTAGCAGTTTCGTCTCTTGCACTTCTCGCGTGTGGAAGCCTCTTCCGGCTTTGCAGTCAACTTTGATCTTCAAAAATTCAAATGCAATTTCAATCACTATATACTATCTTCTTCGTTCCTGTTCTTTTATTGTTCTCAATGGTTATACATATTTTTTTTTTATATTTTTTGTCGATTTTATAGATACATCGCATTTAATAGACATCGACCACACACTTTTATATGTGCATTCACACACTCGTACACGATACAACACGCCAACAACATGTATGAATAATATACCTACATTGAGAATTTAATATATCAACCGCGTCTACTACTACTACTACTACTACATTATAAGGATATCTATTACAGCCAAAATGAGGAAATATTAGATGTTCCCAAGCATAAAAATAGCTAAGTAATAATACTAATGAGAGGAGAAGAAGAAAGCGTAAATTGAGAAGTTAGCGTGAAAAATGTTGTGAAAAGGACAACAGTAGAAGGAAGGCCGCCATTTCTGTTTCTTTTAAAGACGTTACAGCGCCCTGACTTTCATCTGTTTTATTACTCATGCACTTTCAACATTATACTTACCGTTTCTTAGATGCCTGGATTTTAGTCGGGCAAATAGAAAAGAATTGAAGCATGGGGAGAAACCTGCCACCCTCTTCACCACTGCCATCATCACCTCGTTTTCCTTCTCGTCTCACGCTCGCCTCTCCCCTTCCATGCCCCCACCCAACCACACACAGCCGACTCAATGAATTTCTTTCTTCATTCCATCCTGCATTCTTCTCCCCACATGCATCGTGTCCTCTTTTCTTTTCCTTTTCGCCGACCAATTCCGCTCGTACCTTTTGTGAAGACAAAAGCATTTACGAAAAGTGCTTTTCTAAATGCCTTGCAAATCTATTAAGCAGAGTCTCTGTATGAAGAAAAATGAAATAAATAAAACGATATAAGTAAGAATAAATAAAATAAATATACATATTTTGAAAGATAATTTTTGGTCTTTTGAAATTGCCATGCCTTCAGTAGAATAGAATCAAATCGTTTAAATATGATTCAGATCTTTATATATATATATATATATATATATATATATATATAAAATATATATATATATATATATATATATATATATATATATATATATGTATATATATATATATATATATATATATATATATATATATATATATATATATATGTATATATATATATATATATATATATATATATATATATATATATATATAAATATATATATATATATATATATATATATATATATATATATATATATATATATATATATATATATATATATATATATATATATATATATATATATATATATAATGTTCTTAGTTCATTCTTAGGGTTAATACGTGATCGGCTCCAGTTATGCGCATTTGGCAAGGATTGTTAAAAAAAAAAAAAAAAATCTTCAGAGACTATTTTTTTTTTTGCCTTGTTATCGACTCTTGCTACAAGACGATGTTGAGTGGGCTTTGGAAAAATCTAGAAGTGGATCTCAAGTTAAAACAGATTAAAATAATTCAAAGTCTGATTAAAAGAAGAAAAAAAAAAAGCTATTACACTTGTAGCGAAACAACCGTTTATAAAAATAAAGTGATATATGCTATATTTTTCGTTCTTTCGTTCAACTTGGCTCAGACTTACTTAAATGACCTTTCTGATTCCTAAAGCAATTTACAGACCGCAATTACATTGTTGCAATCTTTTCTCACCTATATTTAACTATGTTTTCTTTACTCTGCTCATTCTTTGGCAGAATTGCTCTGAACTACGGAACTATTACATGAAGTCTATCTATCTTTTTGGATGAACTGATCGCAGAGAAATGGGGTACAGTTTATAACGTAGTCTCCAAACTGCTCTTCTCAGGTCTTGAATTCAATGTTTTTTTTTCTCTCCTAGACTAACTGCCACCCAAGGAAAGTAAGGCAAGTTATCTCTTTTAAGCATTTCCCCCAAAACAAGGCGAGATGCCACTAGCACGAAAGGGGTTACAGAAATTGGGAGCGAGAGTAAATAGGCGTCATAGAGGAAAAGATGAAAACAAAGACAGGGAATAGATCAATGGCATCTGGAGATGTCGATTGACATTACATTTGAATAGTTAGAGATTATAGCTATCAGGGAAACAATTAATAAAAAGGTAATTCCACAGACGGGAGGCGCGTGACATGAAGCTATTGAAGTAGAAGAGACGACCACATTTAACTGTTTCGACATTGAAAGGGTGGGATCGAGATGACAGCCTAGTTGCACGTTTAAATTCATGCAGTCTGGGAACTAGCGAAAGTAGCTCGCTGGGGCAGTTACCGTGAAAATATTTGTAGAAAAGACAGAGGGAGGCGACGGCACGTCTGTATTTAACTCATTGCTACAGGAAACTTGATTTATACCTTTTCCAAGTTCATTAGTGTGATGTAAACGAAACTGCAATTTCCACTTGACACGATGATTTCACATTTTGCGCCGATAATCATTATACACGCTACACACACACGCCACACACACACACACACACGCATACACAATTTATTCGGACATCACAGAGTGACCATAAAGTATGGATACATTGATTTGGATGAAAACGACCACTTATCCATCGTTAAAATGGAGGTAAAATGATCAGTTCCCTGTACCGCTGCAGCTAGTACCTGACTCATCTTGCTATCCTGTACCTTTATAAGAGCCAGATGAGGCCGAGAATGGAGTACGGTCATCATATCTAGGCGGAAGCTGCCCAGACCTCACTCTCCAAAAGCGTCTCCGAGCCCGAACACTTTTGGGTGATGAATTATTCTCCACCCATCAACCACTCTCCAACAGGCGAGATGCTAAGACTCTCGCTGCTCTACCACTACTTCCACGAAAAGTGCTCCGACAAACTCCATTCCTCGGTTCCGCCAAGTCGAACCTTCGTGGCAAGAACACGCCATGCCACTTACATAGTAGCAAACAACCCATATTCCCTCCGTATTTCATCGGTGAAGTTCCACTCGAGCAGCATCTTTCTGCGGACCTCTGCTCTGTGGAACCGACTCCCAAGAGGATGTTCCTCCGATCACTACAATCTTAACCAGTTCAAGGCTCGGGTTAATCGTTATCTCCCACTCCTGTACACACAAATGGCCTCTTAATGTAACCCTCTACCTTGAATAGACACCGGGCCTTGTAAAGGGTGAACCTTACTGTAAAAAAAGAAAAAAAGAAGACTTTTGTTCAGCATCGTTTGTTTTACGTGAACGGCGATGTTATCCGACTGAATGTTCGGTACTGGTCGTAGAATAATCCGCGTTGGACGGGCTCTTTGAAACATCAAGGAACACAATGAATAATGTAAATTGCGTATTGTAGAAATTCATGTATTGGGGCAGTTGATGGTAACGGAACTGGTGAGACATTCTTCATCGTGTTTAGAAACTAGTTAATGCTCAAAACTGAAAAGTTAATTGAACGATCTCCTGAGTGGCCCCAATAGGATGGAGCCCCTGTTAATTACGCCATGGTGGTAAGAGACTGGCTGAATGAGAAATTACCTGAACGTTTGGATTCAAGTGCCAACAAAGTGGACATTGAGGATTTTCATTCGCAGGCTTATATAAGCCGTCACAGTTGGGACTGAAAGTAGTTTTGGATCAACCTTTGGCCAGAACAGACTGTCCTCCCAGTAATTCCGATGCCTCCCGGTAGAGTTTCCAGTCGCGCATCGTGATGTAGAGAGGAGCAGAGGGGTTCTCACTGAATGAGGGGAAGAGCCGATCTGTTAATCTGATAGGGCGTAAATTGTCCCAAGTGTCACCTACCCACCCATCCAAATCATTCAAGTGTATTCCTGAAATAAATAGCTGAATACATTGGAATCAGGATTTCTGCTTTACATTTCTCGCCGTGGCGTTTATTTTCTCCTTTGGTTTCCTTGTGAGCGTGCAGAGGGCCTTTCCCACTTATGAAATCAATTTACGCTTTGCTTATTTGTTAAAGGCAATCATCAATAAGCAAAAAAAAAAAAAGCAAAGAGTGAAAGATTTTAAACCCAAGTAAGAAACAAAAAGAAAAATCTTAGCAAGAAAGTAGTTATCGGAGAAAAAAATCATTGCTGTTTTATCAGTTCACCAAATGAAATAAAGAGAGATTAAAAGGCTGAAAGATATCTGGACCTTGATTATTCTCATCATTATGGGCAGGCCTAAAACATTTTTCGCGAAGATGTTGAGAGGATAAGAAATTAGAAGATAAATTAAAACCATCTAGACATCTATCAACAAGACCGTTTGATATATCTCTTTAGGTGTTATGTAATTTCAGGACGATTAGGATCCCTTTGATATCTATAAATTGTGCATTTCCTTGAGAAAAATAGGCAAATTGTTTTTTGTTGCAGTGTGTATGGATCTTAATATAGGATTGTATTTCTCCTAGATTGGTTGTCAACTAAGATTAGAGTTCTTAATATTCTCTGTTATTTAACCGGTAGAGAGAGAGAGAGATTGATTCTCGCTTTTGCCAAGGGCATTCGTGCAGGAATTTGAATTCGGCTTGCCTGCTCCATTTCTCGTGTTAACTGTCAGTTCATCCGATCTTTCACCTTCAGTATCTGACCAGTTGTATCAACTGGTCTTAAAAATCGAGTAAAATCACCTACGATCAACCTGATGATAAGTTGTACAAAATTAAATGAAAAAAAAATTATATGAAAAAATATATTTGTCTTTAAGCATTTCCCTCCAGGCAAGGCAGGAGTGCCACTAGCACGTAAGGGGTTACTGAGATGGGGAGCAAGATTAAAGAGGCGTGATAGGGAAAAGGATGAAGAGAAGGACGGGGAATTAAATCAAGGCATCTGAAAATATCGACTGACATTGCATTTAAATAAGTGAAGATTATAGCTATCAGGGATGCAAGTAAGAGGAAGGGAGTTCAACACACGGGAAGTGCGAGACATGAAGCTATTGGAGTAGAAGAGACGGCTACATTTAACAGATTCAACAGGGAAAGAACCTGGCAGTTATTGAATTAATACCAAAAATAAATAAATAAACATTCAATTATAATAAATTTGATGACGATGGTAAAAAGGATCTTTGGAAAAAAGCTAACTATCAGTTGTTATCGCTACCCAATTTTTGAAACAAGAAATTACAATGGAACCTCGTTTCACGAAATTATTTCGTTCCTGTAGCCTGTTCGTAACCCGAAATATTCATTAACTACTTTTCCAATAGAAATCAATGTAAAATGGATTAATCCGTTCCTGGTCCCAAGATGATTGCTAATTTAAACTTTTACAACAGTGCACAAGTTTATATACAAAATTAATGAAAATCATTAAATCTAAGGTAAAATAGATAAACCCAATACTAAACAGATAAAATCTCGGCGAACACTTTAATTACCGTACATTTATGTAAGAGAATTGAGGGTGTAAGTGAGAGGAGAAGAGAGATGATATTGTTTGGAAAGGGGAAGGAAAGATATGGTCATCTCTTTATGTATAAGAATAGTATAGATTGTTGATTTTGCCATATGAAACTGAGTAGGAAGAGACAATATTTCTATAGAGACATTATCATCAACAATTGTTTTTCTCTTAACTTATCTTTTTCCTTTACCAGTATAATTACTAGCTTTCTTTGGAGCCATGACTGAAGACTAATGAAGGCACAGTACAATAAAATTGGTAAAGAAAAGCACAGCACAAAATACAAATTGTCGACTCAGAAATGATTCCGTTCGGGTTAACTCGGTTTAGTTCGGTTCGACAATGTTGTTCGAGAACCGAAAATTTGTTTGATAACCGAGGATTTTCATCTCGAATTTTCTGTTCGAAAACCGATTTGTTCGACATGTGAGACGTTCGAGAACCGAGGTTGCTCAGTAACTTTTTTTTTTTGATCTCATGAAGTAAAACAAAGTTCGTATTTTCCATATTATTTTTCTTCTGCTTTTCTTTTTTCTTTTTCCTTCATAACTACAAGATTTCTTCTTTACATTCATTTTTCTTCTCTGACGCTAGGCTTTTTCTCCGTCTCTATCAATTTCTTCATTTTCTCGTTGTCTGACACTTCTTTTTTTCTTTTTCTTTCATCATTTTCCTTCATTCACATTCGATTTTTTTTTCTGTTATTATTATACTTTTTTTTCTTTTCTATCAGTTTTCTCTTAATACTACTACCGTTTTAAAAAACTACCACTAGTGCTACTACCATAAATAACTAAGATTACATTAGTAAAACAAGATGACCAGGCCTTGCTTGTCGGCGCCTCTGGCACTAGTAATTTCTTTTGCTCACTTTCCTTCACCCAGTTCCTACCAATTCCTTTGCTGAAACTTTCCCACTTAGAATTCAGTCTCTTGGTCTGTCGCACCTTCTGCACTGATTCCCCGCCTTTTCACCGAGTGCTGTTTAAACCCTTTCAATTTAATATTGAGTCATAACAGCATTGTTCATGTCCTCCATGTCTACCTGGTCGACGGAGATTTTATTTTTCGACACTATTTCCCAATCACCGACCAAACGTTAATTTTTTTTTTGTTTTTATTTTACATACACACTCTTTCTTTCTCCCGCTCTCTCTTTCTCTGTGTCCTCCTCTTTAACATTCCGCACACTTTCCTTTTCTTTAGCGCTCAAATAACTTTACAAACTTTTCTATTCCCGCTTTCTCTTCTGATTTTATGCTTCTCTTAAGTAATTTAATTAAGTAACTATTTCAATTGCTGTCTTCTCTTTTTAAACAGCTTTCTTTAGTTTTCTTTTCTTGATTTCTATTTTCCTCTTCACGATCTTGTCTTTCTCTTCCTCTTTCTTCTGCCTTCTCCTTCTATCAACTATTGTTTTTCTTTTCTAGACTCTCTCTATATCTCTCTCTCTCTCTGCTTTTAGCTTCTTACATCGCTATTTTTCTACATTTTGTTCTCACGCCACTTTCCGTTGTTTTTGCAACATTCAGTTTGTACCCACTCTTTCTCTAGAGCTGCCTCCCCATTCTCTTTCATGTTCGCATGCCTGTCTTTTCTATACATTTTACTTTTAGTTTCTCAAATCCTTGCTTTTACAATGTTAGATAGCCTCAAACATTGCTGTTGCGCGATGATGATGTCACCTTGCACTCCACATCTAATTATCTCACCTGTCTCACCTGACACTTAACAAGAAGAGCAACGGTAGGGTGGAGAGTTGGGGGAGGGTGTCGGTTAACCAAACCGATATGTGAGAAAACCCTATATCAATACTTTCACCCCTTTCCTCACCCTTAGGTCCAAGCTCACACGTCCAAAGCCGTGCACTAGTCCGCTTAGAACAATAGCTGCAACAACGTAAACCACTTAACAACCGCTTCACTCTTTTATTTTTCTGACCTTCTTTTTCTTTTTTTCTTTTCCTTTTTCTTTCTGTCGTTTTTAATTCGTTATTCATGGCCCTTTTCTAAAAATAATAGATTGGACAACAACGAAAATTGAGAGGTCTTTCGCACTCATTTTCTTCTCTTTTTTTTCCGTTTTATACTATTTCTTTCTTTCTTTCTATGTTTCAATTTTTCCTTCTTTTTATTTTACACTGTTTTTGATTTCCATTTTAAACTCCTTCTTTATATTTTACACTTTGTTTCTATTCGACTCTCTCTTTTTTCTATCTTACACTCTCTCTTTCTTTGTCTTTTACACTCTTTCTTTCTTTCGCCTTTTATACTCCTCCTTTCTTTCTATTTTATACTCTACCTTTCTTTCACGTCCTTTGCAATATTCCAATAACAATTGTCTATCTTCTGACAACCTAACCCCTGCCTACACTTCTAGTCTTGACAATAATAATAATAATAATAATAATAATAATAATAATAATACAATTAAAAGTGTAACATTAATACTCAGTGTCCAAATAACCTTTTATTGTTGCTGCACAGGTCATGTTTTTCTTTCTGCTTTGACGCATTGTTAGCAATGCGTCAGCCATCTTGTTCTGGACGGTGTGAAGGAGGTTCACAGGGCCCCCGACAAGTTATTCGCCCGTTTAAGTAAAACTGTCGTGTTGGTATTTTTTTTTTCTAATACTGTTATTTTTTTTTTCGTATATTTGTCGTTCACCATTCAGTCTAAAAGATTGTGTGTCAATCGTCTCACAAAAAAAAAAAAAAAAAAAAATTACTTTGCCAGCCAAATCTTTCTAACTTACAATGTTCTGTATTTGTGACGATTCACATTTTTTTCTTTCCGCTTCCTGCTGGGCTTAAGCATTTTTAGTTTTGCTGAAAAGAAATGTTGGATCGAAAAATTAATGTTAAAAACATTAAAAGCGTTAAATTTTTATTTAAAAAAAATATTCAAGTCCTTTAAAACGGTCGGGGAGTAATATTTTTTTCTATTGAAAGATTCATATCTCCATTAACTAAAAATGATGCAAATGAATCTATCTGCTTCCTTTCTTTATATAGCAATATCTCCGATTTCCTATCTATTTCAGCTTCTATATTATATATTTATCTGCCTCGGTGTTTATTTTATCTATCTATCTATCTATCTATCTATCTATCTATCTATCTATCTATCTATCTATCTATCTCAGTCTTTATATTTAATATCTATCTTTCTATCTCAGTCTTTATACCTATCTATTTCAGTTTTTATATCTATTTATCGCAGTGATTATATCTATCTCGGTTTTCTATCTATCTATCTATCTATCTTTCTATCTATCTATCTATCTATCTATCTATCTATCTCAGTCTTTATATTTAATATCTATCTTTCTATCTCAGTCTTTATACCTATCTATTTCAGTTTTTATATCTATTTATCGCAGTGATTATATCTATCTCGTTTTTTCTATCTATCTATCTATCTATCTATCTATCTATCTATTTAATATCTATCTTTCTATCTCAGTCTTTTTATATTATTTAGTTTTTATCTATTTATCAGTGATTATTTCTATCTCGGTTTTCTATCTATCTATCTATCTATCTATCTATCTATCTATTGCAGTCTTTATATTATATTTACTATCAATTTTTCTATCCCAGTCTTTATATCTATCTATTTCAGTTTTCATATCTATCTATCTATCTATCTATCTATCTATCTATCTATCTATCTATCTCAGTTTTCATATTATCTATCTACCTATTTATTTCAATCTTTATACCTATCTATTTATCTATTTATTTCCTTCTACTCATATGATACTCTCTATTTTCATTCCTTTCTCTATCTCTTCCCCTCAATTTATCTTTCTTTAGACTTTTCTTTAAGTTTTTATCTAGGTGTCTCTGCTTCTTATCATCTATCTATCCGTAATTACCAAAAATTACAAACGACTACCTAATAAACTACAGACCTAGCATTCATGTAACTCTTCATAGAATATAGTCTCCGAGGTTCTGAAGTCATTGTGGGATTATATCCATTCATGCATGTTTCTAGGGTGCCCATAACTGAATTGCTGAGAAGCTAGATCCATAGCCTGATGCGGGTTTCATAACGTACGAATTCAACTGATTGTCCAAAAGAAATGGAAACAACTACACTGACCAGTCTCCCTTGGCCCATCGACGATGTTCTTTGATTGCGAGGATGTTCTGTAACAGAAACACCCTTATTGAGGGACAACTACGCAGTATACTTTGTATCGTATCTTCGCTGATGGGGGTGAGTGGCACTAGTGTCTAATTTGAATGTCATTTGATGTAATGATACCAATCATGCCATTTATTCTTTCTTCCATAACCTGTCGATATCTACAATTTCCACGTGACCATTTAATCATATTGTCTATATAATTGTTACATACACACACACACACACACACATATATATATATATATATATATATATATATATATATATACACACGTTTCATTAAATAATATAGACAAGTGTTGTCTATTTATTTTATGTAAATTTTTTCGTAACGTCTGATAAAAAATTTACATAAAATAAATAGACAACACTTGTCTATATTATTTAATGAAACGTGTATGAATGAAAAGTTGCTGCCTAAATACACACAATATATATATAATATATATATATATATATATATATATATATATATATATATATATATATATATATAGTTATGAAGAACTTGGTAATCCGTATGGGTAATCCCAAAGAGGCTGAAATCCTGAGAGCTCAATGTAAAGCCAGACCTAATATTTTAAAGAAAAACAGACCACTTTAAGGTACCATTATAATAATTTATTTCACCAGAGCCCTTTTAAAGGACGCCGGATCATCAGATAGCACTTCCAACAACGAAATGAAACGAAAAATGAAATTAAAATTGATGGGTAGTGTAAGTTTTTGTAATTTAACAGAGTTTTAAAGGGGTAGTTAAAGAGACATGGTATAGTTTAGGGAGGGATTAATTTCAAAGTAATTTAAAATTATATTTGAAATAAAAAATCAATATAATATTTAATATATATATATATATATATATATTTATATTTATACATATATATAGTGGAAAAATTCGTTTAATACGTTTCGGCCTTTAGGACTTCATCAGACTAAAGTGGTGTTTATGTTGATGTGAGTAGATATGCGCATGAATGAAAGGGGACGCTGACATTTTAAAATTAAATTAAATTAAATTAAACAAAATGTGTTTTGGTTATATAGTTGAGCCAATTTCATTTAACATCATTTTGCTTCTATTATTGATTCCGGTTATTAAATATTTCACATTGTAATAATAGATCTGTGATTACTTTCTAATCATTTTCGACTTCGTAAATTGTTTCTCTTTTAATTAAAGTAGCATTTTTAAAACAAAATTATGGTCACTCTACTGTGAATAAATAATGCATTGAAAATAATTCATAAAATTGTTTTTGATATATAAAAATTTGTGTATCGTTTTCCCATATATATATATATATATATATATATGGGTAGGGGCGTGTCATAGCATACAGTAAGTGCTGGTGTAAATAACAAAACAGAGCTGAATATAGAGTAACAGAGATAAAATTTATATATATTAACAGTTCACTCAGCCTTTTTCTCCTCTGAATTTCTGTGAGATTACATTCACACTTCAATTGACGTGACTGTTAAATACAAACATTTAATCTCCCGAGAGACGAGTTAACCTTTAATTTAAAATATTATTATTAATGCTCTATCTCTTGAAACAATTAGAAACATAAAAGCAAACAAATTGTGATAGACAGAAGCGAACATATTGAGATAAATAGACGTGAGCAGACAAACTGAGACAGGTTGATAGACACGAGCATAAAAACCCAGACAGGTAGATAGACGCGAACATAAAAACCGAGAGATGTAGAGAGACGTGAGCATATAAACTGAGACAGTTCGACGCGAGCATACAAACTGAAACAGGTAGATACACGCGAGCATACAAACTGAGACAGGTAGATAGACGCGAGCATAAAAAAACCGAGACAGGTAGATAGCGAGCGTACAAGCTGAGACAGGTAGATAGACGCGAGCATACAAACTGAGACATGTAGATAGACGCGAGCATAAAAAAGCGAGACAGGTAGATAGAAAGCGAGCGTGCAAACTGTGACAGGTAGATAGACGCGAGCATACAAACTGAGACAGGTAGATAGAAAGTGAGCATACAAACTGAGACCGGTAGATAGAAAGCGAGCATAAAAAAACCGAGACGGGTAGATAGAAAGCGAGCATACAAACCGAGACAGACCCGAGCATACAAACTGAGACAGGGAGATAGACGTGATCATACAAACTGAGACAGGTTGATGGATGAATGCTAGATAGCTGCTGACCTATGGAAGTGAGGAAAATCTATTACTGTCTTATTCAAATCTCATTTTACTTATCAGTGTAAACCATTATGAGACTTCTTTTGAACTAACTCATTCCGCATCTCCTTTTCCTTCCCCTCCTAGATTTTTTTTTCTTTTTATCCCTCTTTACTTTTCCTTTGATAAACGTTATTTCATTTGTAAATGGTTCAAAAGAACACCTAATTTGTTCAACTATGCCATAACCATTGTACTCTATAGTCTTACAATCTTTACTGTTGCAGTCTTCCGACGCCATTAACTTCTTCACCTGCGCTTACATCACATCTGATTTTTCCTTGCATTTAAGTTAAAACAATAAACGCCTTACTGCTGACTCTCCAACTCTTCGAATCCTGAGCTCACATTTTCAGTACCAGCTAGGCTTCTGTTCCATCCATATCCCGCTACCCACTTTAGTCTAAACATTGTGTTAGTGTGCAAGCATTGTGTAATTAATTTAAGTAACGTCACAATATCTTTCGGTACAGTCTGATTGGTTGAAATATCGGACGCTTTTACTCCCTTCCTTTCAGATATGTTGATGTAACAAAATAATAGAAGCCTTTTCCTAATAAAATAACTTTACAATTGGTTACTTATTCTCAGAATGGTCTGTATCTTCATGAAATATTGACGTGTTTCTGTACCTGAAAAACAAAGAATCCCGAACTGCTATGTTATATCAATCCTCCTATACGGCAGTGAATGCTGGACTGTTTCCTCACAAATATAGAAGCGTCACGAGGAAAACGAGGCGCGTTTTTACAGAAGGATACTGAAAACACCATGGACGAAACATGAGAAACGATGAAGTTATAAAAATTATTTATTTGTAGATATTGTTGCGTGGTCGGTAACTGGGCGATAGTATCTAAGGTCTGACTTGCTATCTTATTTTTAAAATAGGACTGAAGTTTTCATAGTTATTTTTTCTTTTACTGTCATATCTGGTCTGGTCCTGCTATTCATCACGAGATTCTTGACAAAATCCAAAGAAGGATCTGTAATGTAATTCATTCTGACTTGGTATCTCGACTTCAGTCATTATCTCACCGACGTGGCGTGTCTTCCCTCTGTCTTTTCTACAAATATTTTGGTGGCAACTGCTCTGATGAGCTTTTTTTTTCCCTGGTGGTCCGACTGGATGAATTTAAGAGTGCTATTAGATTGGCAACCCGTTAAAATAGTTAAATGCAACCTCCACTTCTACTCCGTTCCTTTTCACTCACTTCCCACTGAAGAACTTTCTTCCGTTTACTTGCTTCCTTGATAACTGCAATCTTCAAAAATTTAAATGCAACGTCAATCGCCATCTTCATCTTTTGTCCTTTTCTCAATCCTTTCTATACGCGGTCCTTTCTCTCACTGTATGTCACTGAGTACTAGTAGCATTCCTGGCTTACTTGGGGTGAAATGATTTTAAAAAAAAAGTAATTGATAATTAATGTTACTGATACTTTCAGTTTATTAGAAAACTGGAAAATTCCTTAGAAAAGAGTGCTGAACTACTATGTAATGCGAATCCTTCAATAAAAGAGTAAATATTGGATAATTTCCTCACGTATGAAGAGGAGACCGAAGTTAACAGCGATATGGTTCTCGAGAAGGATGTTTCGATCATCATGGATGAAACATGTGAGCTATAAATTAAATATAAGTTTTAAAGAAAATGGGAATAAAAAATGGACTTGTACTTAGAATCAGAAAGAGCAAGTCGAAATATATGGGACGCATAATTGACGAAACAAGATTTGGGAAAATTTATACTCGTAGGATAGACTGAAGACAAGACGGGTAGAGTGAAACACCGAGTAACTTACCTAACGAGCTTATGTCACCATTACACCAAGATGTCGTCTGTTGAATATATTTATATGATACAGACTGTACGGTATTCAGAATAAAATTCAAGGTTTATCATTTTCAGAAAATTGCTATTTACCAATGTAAACATGTACCCCATAAGTTTAAAATCGATTTAAGGTCGGGCAAATAAGTTGGCCACTTTATCAAATGAATGCCTTTCAAACCAATTTTATTCAGGTATTCAGTTAGCTTTCCTCGTTGAATTTTAAGTAGCATAGAATCCATCGTACTTTTGAAATCGTTTGGCTTCATTCTTGAAATATAGCATCATGTGTGCCGTCAGAAATCAATGCCTGAGCTGGAATTTTAACTTCGTTTGAAATTCTTCAGTGTCCCACCTTTTCACCACCTATAATTTCACCGACCTCATCTCCATCAAAAGAAATCTCAATAACTTGACCTGTGAAGACGTTTCCAAATGTACAGGGTGGTCCGAAAATCTTGTCACCTCCTACTAAAAATTAATGAGAACAATAGAATAACAAGTAATACAAAGCATATATACCGGATTCAGTTTATTCACTTTCATTAACGAAATCAAGATCGTTTGTCATGTGTGTTAATATTGTGGATTTGGGAATTCCTAGCTCGGAAGACGGTTTTCGCAGTGACTCCTTGGCTGACCGTAGCACAGATGCTTCCACCTCTGCACATGTGTCCCTTCGCGTTGAGGGTCATCGTATCCTTAGTTTGTCCTTAATTGATCCTGCGAGAAACAGTTTATGTTCCCATCGCAGTATTGTCCACTTCTGAGGAGCTGGTATGGCGAATCTTTCAGTGAAGTCATGTAGTCCATCCTATATGCTCTTTCCAGAATGCATAGGATCATGTGTCCATAGATTTGCAAACAGTCTCTCTTCCAAACAGTAAGAGCCCATGTCAGCCATCTGAAATAGGAAATTACCTGATATAGGGGTGACAAGACTTTCGGACCACGCTATAGTCCTCCAGATTTTGCCCCGTTCGTTTTACCTATCGATGTTTCTTTGATGAAAATCGCCATTGAATAATTACTCTTCATGTATTCTCTTGGCCATTTTTTTCTATAATTCCACTGTAAGCAAGACGATAATGCCACTAAGACGCAAATAGTTACTGGAAGTGAAGGAGAAAGGGAAGACTTTTGTTTATTCTTCACCTCTCTATTACCACAACCCAGGAGTAGCATCCTGTATGCTTGAATAGCTTTGTTTTAAAATTGGCCTGCAGGGAAGAGAAATCCGCTTGAAACGACGGAAGGGATAGAATTTACAGAATATTCTCGCATAACTTTGTGTAGTTTTGTTAGGGAACTTCGACACGCTATCTTACATTATTAGAGTAATGAAGTCCTAAGTCTGAAGTTAAACTACATCCGGCAGCAAGGACTCTGATCGGGAGATTGGAGATTTTGAGAAGTGTAGAACCACCTCTTAATTATTGGTCATAGATTTAGTCTGACCCGGGTTGGTAGCACCTGGGCAAATAGTGAACCCCCAAATAAAACACTATGAAAGCATAAAAATACATTTTGTATAGTAAAAACACCAGCAATACATTTTTATATGAAAAAGGACCGACGATACATAATTATAGTAAAATGCCTAACAATATTTTTTTCAAAACAAAACAACCAGCGATACTTTTTGTCTCTAGTTGAAAGTATGCAGTTGGGTTCAAAATACATTTAGTTGAAGCCATAAAATTGCGTTCAGATTGTTTAAACAACCCATAGATGTCGCTATGTCGCTAAAGAAATCCAATCAACTAAAGTAATGGAGTACCTCTTGAGAAATAATACGGCAGAAAAGCAAGTATAGAAATCTCTCTATATTTCTAAGAGGAGGTATTATGTACACTGTTTACATTGCTCGAACTATCATCCTCATCTTTGTTGCCATATTTATCACAACGTTTCTGCGCTTGTACGCCTTCTTCACGTGGTTGGAATGTCGAACTGAACTCTTAAATTCGCTCGCTGGGGTAGACTGTTCTAGTTCCACGTGCCATGCCTAATGGATGTCAGTTATCAGTTATCCCCTGTTAATTACCCTCTCCAAGTTCTCCACCGCCTTAACCAGGTATTGAACTCGCACTCTTCGGGTCCTGTCACTGGATCTAACTAACGCCTTTATCGACTGTGCCATGTGTCCTTGATGACATTCCAACCACCTGAAGAAGGCCGGAGCCTACAACGGACGAAACGCTGTGATAAATATGAGGATGATAGTCCGAGCAATGTAAAAAGTGTAGAAATAGTTCAGCTTTTAAACAGAGGGTCAACAAAGCGAGGCTGGTTAATATAGTCATTTAGAAGTAGATAAATGTTGATAAGTAGTTCGATATTGTATATTGGGCTGGAGCTGTTCAGTCCTCACTTCCCAGCCATGACAGCGTTCACAATCGTTTACACTGTCTTGTGGAGGGAAGAGGAGACATTCTCTATTTTGCATTCACTTTCACACGCACACACCCACGCGCGCGCGCGCGACGTCGCAAGTATATCGCTACTCTATGGTTATTTCCATTGCAAAGGATCAGATAAGCATCATTTCTTTTGTTTTGTTCCGACAATCCAGACATTTACAACTAGCTAACACCACGCTACTTCCTACGGAGTCGAAACTTCGTCATTTCCCCCGTGCTCCAAATTTAAGAAAGAAGTTCCACTCTGAAAGCTACTTCTCATCAAGTGCCACTTTGTGAAGCACTCAGTTTCATCTTGATCTTTTCAGGTCAAGAGTCAATAGTTTTCCGTCTTTGTTATCCTCATAATCTCTACTTCCTTCACCTCCTCTATCACTCTCGCTTGTTATTACCATTGAGTGGCACTTGTATAGGTAATATTTAGTAATATATATATATATATATATATATATAGGTATAGGTATGTATTGTATAGGTATATATATATATATATATATATATATATATATATATATATATATATATATATATATATATGTATAGGCCATGTATACGTAGTACTTAGTAATATATATATATATATATATATATATATATATATATATATATAACGAGAGCTCATGATTGATTTAATTTCTTTATGCTTTGGCTCCTGAGAAAACCTTTCTTATTTGATATCATTATTTTCTCGGCTGTCAAAATGTCCATCTTTCGTTGTTCTTCCCTGTTCGCCACTCAGGTCTGTCATCTAGAGCTTCTCTTCTGCCATTTTGTTTTTCGTTCTCATTCTTCCTGCTATCTTGTTCCAGGAAAATGTCTGATGGAGAATCGATAAAGTCATGCTTGAAGACTCAATATTCACAATTATTGTTGTTTTTCTTTTCTTTATTTTTTCCCTTGAATTTTCTTTTCTTTTAGTCTATTTTTGAAGAAGTTTGTGGACACTATTACCGATAACCTTCTTCTTGAGGGATGAAAAAAAAGAATTAACGTTTGAAAGAAAAAAAATATAACAACAATAAAAATATAACTAGGGAAGAAATATTATTGTTTTTGATGTTTTATTTTTCCTTACATTAAAAAAAAATCACTTTTTGTGTTCGCAGAAAGAGACATTCTAAAAGTAGTCATTAATTCTTTGTTATTGTTTCAATCTTTATTCCATTGTTTGATGAAGTCATCTGTTTTCTAAGCAACATTTTGTTCTCTTGCCGTTATATTCTTTAACCTTATAAAAAAAAATTTAAAGCTCATTACGATGCTGTATTTTCTTCTTTTTCTTCTTCTTCTATCGCTGCTGTTCCAATTTATTGCTTATCTTTTTTTTATTTCTCCTCTTTGTTTTTCTCCTGTTTTCACTTTTTCTTTGCCCTCGTCTGGCGTCTATGTATTCTTCTTCTTCTTCTTCTTCTTCTTCTTTCTTCTTCTTCTTTCTTCTTCTTCTTCTTCTTCTTCACTATCTTTCCACGTGTCGTCATTCTTCTTAGATTTTTGGTTTCTTTCTTGTCATTCTTGTTGAATTTTTTTGTTTCTTTTTTCGTTCACTTGTCGGCCTTTGTCCTTTACATATTATTTTTGTTCTCATTATTACTTAAGATTTTCATTTCCATATAAAAGGAACGAAGTCAATCGCTTCCAGAAGATTCCACTGTAATGATCTCGTTATTAAGATCTTATTATTTTTGTAGTGCATAAAGGATTTCCAGGTAAATGTCTTGGAATAAAAATTAAAATATTACACACACACACACACACATATATATATATATATATATATAATTATGTGTGTGTTTATAGGATGTATATAGTATAAGAAACAAAAGTGGTTATGATCAGACAAAGTGGAAAGGCCGTTTCGACGTCGTGTGTTGGATTCATCTTCTTCAGGCCGGAAGGAAAGGCAAAACTGCGAGTAGGTAAAATACGTTAGCTCCTCTTCTCAAAAAAAAATTCCTTACACACAGTTTTGTCTTTCATTCTGACCTGAAGAAGCCGAGCCCAACACACATCAGGGAAACAAGTCGTTTATAAGCCTTTGCAGTTAGATACA